AGTTAGTAGTTAGACCCAATAGTAGACAAATCGAAACGTCGCGCGTCGTGAACATTTTCAAAATTAAAAATAGTATCAGTTCAGAAAGATATTTTATTGTTACCATATCACTTTGTAAACAAAATACTCCATGCTGTTTTTTTGTATCCAGGCCTCAAATATCGTGATTTTAACTCCAACGGTGGAAATGTTATTCGTTGCACAGGGAGTTAATAAGATTTAAGTAAATAAGTTACAAGGCCTCTATTATTCCAGGTAAATATCTGCCCAATAAAATTTTTACTTGAAAATCGCGGGTAAAATGTAACATATTGAAATTTCCCTCATCTATAAAAAGTTATATTTATTTATATTAATAGTTTTTTTTTTTTTTTTTATATATATATGATATATAATAGAAAATACACACAATACAGGGTGTCTTGGGGCCATGTAGTATTTTTAGTAGTTATATTCGACCCCAGAAACAGGTCTGTTTTTTCGCGAAAAAACTCGTGAAAATTAGTATTTTTTTTATTTTTAATTAAAAGCACAATATATCTTCACATAATATGGCAACATAGATTAAAGGGAAATTAAAAAACAACTTTGGGTGCACAACCTTGGGCATCAATGACACCATGTGTCGTCTTATGGAGTTTGCTGGTGGTCGTATTATGATGTGCAACCAAAGTTATTTTAATTTTCCTATTGACAAAACGAAAATCCAAAAAAGATCCAGTGGTTCTTAAAATTTAAACGAAAAATATTATTTTTAAATTTCAAAGTAAAAATATCTCGGTTATTTTGGACTTATTTTGAAAAACGGAAAAGAGAAAATATGTTTCTTTCATCGGGATCTACCAGCCCTGAAAATATTTGCACTTATTTAAGACTCACCCTGTATAAACATTATCTAGAATAAACCTTGAATTTTAGAAAACAAAAGATATTGTTTAGGCTAAGACCTACGCTATTGGAGAAATTAGATTGTCAACTTAAGTTTTTGTGGAAAGAAATAAAAAAAACAACACTGATAAACAAGTATTGATAAAAAAAAAAATATTTGTTATTATTTACTTTGTGCTGTTTTCATTTTAGCAAACATTCATTATTTATTTTTTGTACTTGAATTACGCTTTAGTTAATAATTTTATTTTTTTTAACTATTTTACTTAAAAATTGTAATAACTTTTTGTGTTTATTAAGAGTGTGTCCTTGATAGCACCTTCCACTGCGGACCTACTATATCCTAGCAGGGTTGGCGGATATATATCGAGTGATATATATCATGATACATATCACGATATATATCTGATATTTATAGAGCAGCATATATATATATATATATATATATATATATATATATATATATATATATATATACGTATGATATATATCATCACAGATTCTTAGAAAAAAAATTTTTAACACAGTTTCAAAACAACAAGCTTTTGATCTTAATTCTAAATTCATTAAACCCCGAATTTGTTCCGCTTGTAATGGCTCTTACTACAAAGTCTTATCTCTTATCCATTTCTAAAGTATTTATTTTCTGCACAATTCCAAACAAATCCAATGATTTGGTGGAAATCGGTTGTACCCTGGACTCCGAGTGGTTAAAAGAGAATTATTCTTACAACTATGTGAGCAGTTATTCACTGCAATACCGGCAACAAATGGTTTAGAAAGATTTTTTTCGAGCGAAGAATAATTCGGTCTAAATTAAGAAATAGGCAACGAAAAAGCTAGTAAACTGGTATTTATTTTTAAATGTTTAAATCAAATTACCTATAAAAAAAAGCTAAAAGCTTGAACGGGATCTTGTCAAATGATGAACTAATTGCTTTAAGTGAAGATAATAGTGACGATGATATTCCTGTTGCCCCATTTTTAGTTACTTAAACATTTATCAAACGACAAGTTTTTTCATTATATATTTTAGGAAAAATATTATTTTTTTGTCTTGTTTTTTGTGATTTGAAACTAAAGTTTAATTTTTGTTTTTATTGAAATAAAGGTATTTTGTATTTTAACCCAGGAACAAAATATCAGATATGATATATATCCATGATATACGGGGTGTCCCAGGCTGAGCGTACATTAGAAGTTTCTAGAGAACTATAATATCTAGATCGGAGATTTTTTGCACATTACTGTTTCACAACGAGATCTATCGATTAAAAATATTTTCAATATGGCGGCACTTCCGGAAATACCGGAAGTTGCCAGCAACTTTCTTATTTTAAATGGGTGCCCCCATTTATTATTACATACTTAAATTCTCTGTACAATTATATGAATATTGATGTTAAACACTCTATATCTAACATTAACCGTTTTTGAGAGAAAAAATATTTCAAATTTTTGAACGTAATAAGAGGAGAATTTAAGAACGTAATAAAAAATAGGGGTACCCATTTAAAATAAGAAAGTTGCTGTCAACTTCCGGTATTTCCGGAAGTGCCGCCATTTTGAAAATATTTATACTCGATAGAACACGTTGTGAAACTATGATGTGCAAAAAATCTCCGAGCTAGATGTTGTAGTTCTCAAGAAACTTCTAATGCACGCTCAGCCTGGGACACCCTGTATATCCGATATTATGATATTTTGATATTTATATAAATATCATGATGTTTGCCAACCCTGTATCGTAGTAAATTGAGTAGTTTTTTACAGTAAAGAATCCGTCAAGGATGTGAATTTCGATGCTTCAAGCGCTTTCAACGCGACTTGACTATCTGAAAATATGTTTATTTTTTTCCCGTTACATTGCGGATCTACAAGCAGATAACTTATAGAAAGCAATTGTTATATTAATAAGAATAATAATTCGGGCATGTATATTTCTGCAGACATCAAGGTGTGTGGTCACTGAAAAAAATCTGATAAAATATAAATATATATATATTCGATACCAATTAAACTTTTAGTTACGTAATCGAGGGCGCGATTTTTAAATTGATTGTTGCCGACCATGGACATATTCGGCGCCGGGCTGACTAACTGGAATTTAAATTTCCCGCTGGGGATTCAGGTGGTATCTCTACTGTAAAACATGTCAAGTTGCCATATTTATTTATTTATTTACCGACATTGTCGTTCGTTTTGACACTTTAGTTTTGTATTACGAGTTTTTGGTTTAAATTAATTGTGTTGTGATATTTTAAGCTTAAAAGTTTTTACTAGCAGACGTTGCAGTCGAACACTGTTCTTTTTAGTACCTCCTTTAGTGCGAAATGTACAAGACAACTTAATAGCCGTAAAAAACTCATCGCAACTTTATTAGAATACTTTGAACGGGGAAGCGGTAGTAATAGTATTTTATGCCCCTTAAAAGCGCTGTTAAAAAGGTGAGTTTTGTTGATGTAAATAAATGTTTATATACAGGATGATCCGAACTGTATTCCGGAAACTTCAACAGCATATTCTGCAGATAAATCTAAGTAAAAAAGTTCGTATAAATGTACGTCCTAAAATGCTTAGTTTCAGAGATACAGGGTGTAGAAGTTTTATTTTTATTTGGATTTTTTCCAAATAATTTCTAAAATAACGTCAATATATGGATGAAAATTGATGCCTGGGAGTTTTTTGACATAAGAAATTTAATTTTGATGTATCAATATGACTCCTATTTGTAGGGGGCGCCACCTACATATGTTTAAAGTGTTTGTGTAAGAGTAATAACTTTTCGTCCGTACCTGTATAAAACTACTGAGTGAAAAAATATACATTTCCGTGATTTTTTACCTAAAAAATGTCACTTGATAAAAATCGCTACGAGCAATCGTTCTCAAGATATTTAGAATGGAAGTAGTCATTATTGGTAAAAAATAAACATGTTCAGTAGATAGTTATTTGACCGAAATGATAAATTTTGTCCCTTTTTATTTTTTTTAAATTAATCGTGAATTTTTCTTCGAAAAAATGATGATTAAACAATCTCTGTTGAACTTTTGACACAAAATCATTTCAAATTTATGATTTCAGTCTAATAACTACTTAATCAACATGTTTAATTTATGTCAATGATGACAGGTATTGATAATTTCGATTCCAAATATCTCGAGAACCATTACACGTAGCGATTTTTACCGAGATCTTTTTTACGTAAAAAATGCCTTAAATGTATATTTTTTACTCACTAGTTCTATACAGGTGCGGACGAAAATTTATTACTCTTCAAACCAGTTAAAAAATCAGTAGGTGGCGCCCTCTACAACTAGGAGTCATATTGACATCAAAATCATATTTCTCATGTCAAAAAACTCCCAAACACCAATTTTCATTTAAATATTGACGTTACTTCAGAAATTATTTCGAAAAAATCGAAATAAAAATGGAACTTCTACACCCTGTATCTCCGAATCTAAGCATTTTAGGACATACGTTTATACGAACTTTTTACTTATTTTTATCTGCAGAATATGCTGCCGAAGTTTCCGGAATACAGTTCGGACCACCCTGCATTTATAATTAATTTATTTTTGTTCCCTAAAATATTTTGATTAAAAGAACAGAAAGAAAATAAGATATATAAAAATGGGCAACGCTGTGCCGGTCAAGCTTAATCACGTGACTAAAAATTTATTTGGTATGAACTATATATTTTCTCTTTACCGTTTTTCAGATAAATCCAAAATAACTGAGTTATTCAAGTTCAAAGAAAATTTTAAAACAATTTATTTATTTAAAAAAAAAAACGACAGCCACCGGATTTTTTTCTGTATTTGCATCCCTTTTAGTGAATAAGGGCCACTAAATAGATTTGGAAATGTGGCCACGTCCTGCACATTTAATGCTTATCTCCTAAAATTATAGGGTGTGCCGAAAAGTGCACAACGAATATATTTATTAGATAATGAGTTATTAAAAAGCCTATATGGATTTTTTTTGACGCCGCTTTTTTTTGAACATACAGTATGTTATGTAGATAAACAAAATAACAATTTGAGTTATAAAATAAAATTTTATTTATACATATATAATAAAGTACTATAAGTAACCACAGCTTATACTTATAAACACAGTGGTACAATATATCTACACTAAATCTAAATCTACTTCTAATTTTAGGTTAAAAAGTGATTTGAGAATCTGAGCTCCTGCCTCAAAACTCCATCAAAAATGGCCTCTGCTTCAATTACTTTAACACTGGCATGCTGTTTTAAGATTCTCTTATATTTGGTTTGGTTTTCAGGTGACGAAATAACATAAGTATTATTTAAAGGCGATGAAGGTATTTTCGCTATACATTTCCCACCGCAAGCTTCAATGGCGCCTAAAATATCATAGATATTTAAATAACTGACGAGTTAAAGGCGAGTTTATATGCATCCGTAATGCGTCGTCCGCAGAGATGTGACTTATATCAAATACAAGTACAGTAGAACCCCAATTATCCGAGTCGCAATTATCCGATCTCCGGATTAACCGATCCAATCTAAAGACCCTGATTATCCGATGTCGCGCGTCTATGCTCCGTATTAACCGAGCTTCTAAAATATACTATATGTATAAGTATATTTACATATTTCCGTTTAAAATCGTTGGGACCGACGGGGTATCCTCTTGGCTCGTGTGAATGGTTCCCCTTATTTATATTTTTGGACTCTTTTATCATGTAAATTTGAGTGAATGCAGTTCGTTATTGCGTTCACTACGGAGAAGTAGCATACGTATGTACTCATGATTTATCTGGGTGGAGTTCTAGTTAAGTGTATACCAACTGCTTTGTTTAAATTTTCGTTTGTCGTATTATAATGGAACGCAACAAACGTAAAAGAATTCTCGTTCCTATTGAAGATAAATTAAAAGCAATTAGGAGAATTCAAGCAGGAGAGACAATTAAAATTGTTGCACGAGATTATGGGGTAGGTGAGGTAACAGTTGGAGATTGGAACAGAAACCGCACTAAAATAGAAGAATGGTGTATAAAACAAGCCTCTTCGTCGAAGAAAATCAATAAAAAAGGCGAATATGAAAAAGTTAACGAAGCTTTATTCAGGTGGTTTACTCAGCAAAGATCAAAAGGTGTGTCTCTGTCAGGTCCCATTTTGCAGCAGAAAGCAATAACGATTAGTAAGCAATTCCCAGAGACAGATAGGTTTACCGGCAGTTCTGGATGGAAATGTCCTGTACAAATTTAAACGAGACAGAAGAAGAAGAAAGTTTATTAGAATTAATGCAAAACTTAAAAAGTTGCGAAAATGTGACAAGACAAGGCGTTGATGAATAGGTTACAGCAGATGATTTAGAAGAAGAAATGTATATTGAAGAAATAGTGAAAGCCTTTCGGGAAACCGAAAAATCAGATGACGATAACTATGACGAAGAGAGAGTGGATGCACAGCCTTCCACTAAGATTACCCATCAAGAAGCTTCTCTGAAAACAGCTTTGAGGTATATCGAACAACAATCAGAGGCAACCCCAGCGGATTTGCTTCTTCTTAACAGGTGGAGAAACATGGCAGCGAGAAAAAGAAGATGCAATATGAAACAGCAGCGCATAGATACTTATTTCACTGTTTTATAATGTAGATAGTATCTACATATCTAGGTACTTATGTATTTACATGTTAAAAATGTTAATAAACCGTTTAAAGTACGTATTGGTGCTTATTTTTTAATAAATCCGGATTATCCGAGGAGGGTGTCCCCCCCGTTACCTCGGATAACCGGGGTTTTACTGTATTTGAAATACAGATATAAGATCCAAAATACGTATTTTCATTTTATATTTGACATACCTTTTATAATGTCATCTTTTCAATTTTTTTTCGTATCTTAGTATTTCATAAATACATAGTTTGCTAAATAGTGATGGCATAACTCGAGAGAAAATTCGCTCGAGTACTCGATTATTGAAATAACCGACATCGCTCGATTATGAACGAGCAATGCAAGTGACGAGTTCCGAGCGACGAACGCAAGCGATCCTAGAATAAAATAAATTGAAATCCGATTTTAATGTGACATACTCGATAAAAAGCCGAGCGAATGTTCTACATACATTGCAGGTAGCAAATTTATACGACGTTATCCGTTGCGTATGTGAGGAACAAAATCTTACCACCTACATCGACAATGGTTTGAAATAAACTAAATCAAGCGAATCGCTCGTCGCTTGCTACTTGCCATTCATCTCCGAAAGAATATGTGCCCTGCGCACGCAACTTACTGCTTGTCGCTTGGCGTTAACTAGTATTTACAACGAGCGACGCGCGACGGACGAAAACCCGTATTTTTAAATATGAGCGATATTTCGCTCCAGCAATCGCGGTTATTGCAATCGCTTGATACTCGAATACTCGATTATTGAAATTAATCGGTTTTTCCCATCACTAATTTTAATTCTTCTGTATCTATCTAATAATAGTAACGAATGGATTAAAGATAAGCGCCCATTTCATTCCTTAAAATTAAATGGGTGCCAAAATTATTCAAAGAACTTTTCAAAGACCTTATCTGGACTGAAACAGGTAAAACTAATTGGTATGAAAAACAAAAATTGGACACTTTAAACAACAATGGGGAATTTTTAAAAAGAAAGATAAAAACCAATCCTATTACATGTTTTTAGAGGACTCTGATTCCTGTGTTGCGAAACACTGCAATATTTAAGTAATAAAGACATTTTCAGATTTACACGATTCTTGTTCATAATTATTATTAATAGTTCAGTCATTGGAGATTTTTGCTTGGAAAAAAGTCCGGAAGTGTTGCAACTTTGCAGGTTTATAGGTTTTGGGGTCCCTAACTAAAATCCATAAAATGCACATTTCTAGACTAGCCGCCGGCGCCGCCATCTTGCCAGGATGGCGCCCAAAATCGGTATTTTGTAAATATCTCGAAAACTATGCGTTTTTCGCAAAAATTTGAGGGGAGCAAAATTAAAAAGAATAAAATTTTCTATAAAAAAGGTTCTATGAAAATTTTCGGTAAAGTCAACCGTTTAGGCACAAAATCCCTGGAAATTTTACAATTTTGCGTAAAATATGATATATTACGTATAGTCGATTTTCCGAAATCAAATGTCGATTAGGGTTCACTAAAACTAGTTTTGGTTTAGTTTCTTCAATTTTGTCATGAAACAGTGACGTATCATTAATTTATGAATAATTAATTTTAATTATTGAAAATGTGTGTACTTGTTTCCACACCACCCAAGAGGTAAAGTACATGGCGCGTTTATTTTAACGTGGTCTCCCCGGAGGCCTATTCCACTAGATAAATTAAAAACTTTAACTTATCTGCACAAGACCGACGGACCTGGCTCATTGATGTAAAGTCGATCGTATCTGCTGTGCTGGGCTCATCAGGGTGGTCTCTCAATTCGTCCAACACTTCATCTTCAGCCGCCAGAGGGATATCTACAGGCAAGTCCAACTCCTCTTCATCGGATTCGTCGAGTGACACTTCAGTGACGTTGTCACAGGATTTCCCATTGCAGTATACACAAATCATTGAACATTTTTATCCAGCTTTTCTGCATCTGCAAGCTTTACCACAGTTGTTGGTTTTGCATTTACAGGATAAAAATGCCAATAGGGATTTTGGAGCTGGATCTGTCAACGTTGTGACTGGAGTAATGGCTGTTCTTGTTTTCTTTCAACCCCATTCTTCGGCATCTTTGGTACAACCAGACCAATGCTGAACCTGGTGGTAAGTTCGCAATGAATGCTGTCCAGCACGACAATTAATTATTCATAAATTAATGAGCGAATTAATAATACGCCACTGTTTCATGACAAAATTGAAAAAACTAAACCAAAACTAGTTTTAGTGAACCCTAATTGACATTTGATTTCGAAAAATCGACTATACATAATATATCATACTTTACGCAAAATTGTAAAATTTCCAGGGATTTTGTGCCTAAGCGGTTGACTTTAGCGAAAATTTTCATAGAACCTTTTTTATAGGAAATTTTATTCTCTTTAATTTCGCTCTCTTCAAATTTTTCCGAAAAACGCATAGTTTTCGAGATATTTACAAAATACCGATTTTGGGCGCCATCTTGGCAAGATGGCGGCGCCGACGGCAAGTCTGGAAATGTGCATTTTACGGATTTTAGTTAGGAACCCAAAACCTATAAACCTGCAAAGTTTCAAAACTTCCGGACTTTTTTCCAAGCAGACCCCTTTTTTGATCCCTAATGACTGAACTATAATGTAATAAGTTAAAAACTTTAAAAATAAAAATAAAATGTTTTCTTTCAAAAAGTATTTAGAAAATACGTATTGTATTTTACATCTAGTATTTCAAATACCTTTTCCAAAAGTATTTTGTAACTAATATCTCAAATACTTTGTTTAGAAGTATCTTGTAACTTGATTTCAGATACTTTTTATAAGGTATCTTGTACATCACTCCAATCATTCCGGTATGAGCAATCATTTTTTAAATAAACCAACGAAATTGCATAAACTCAACAACGCGACGACGCATTACAGATGCATGTAAACCCACACTAAAGGTGGATTTTCATGCCAGATCGTATTCTTTTTCACTTAATTTTTACTGCCCGAAACAGCGTTACATCACACGAACTTTGTACCTGAGAATTTTACTTTCAATAAGTGCAGTAGTAAAAACCAAAATACTTAAATATTATGACATACCCACCATTTCAATAATATTTCAAAGCGATTAATTTAATTCTCTATGTCATAAGATGGCATGCTGATAAAGACACGCGAAATGTCACTCTCAGTTTCAAGGATATTAAGGGTGTATTCCGTTGCTTACCTTGGTTATGGTTTTATGTTCCGTTTCTATCGGTTTCCTGAAAGTTTTCTTACTACCGAACACGGTTCCTGAAAAATTCGGTTATAACTGTCACCAAACTCACCAGCGCGAGAAGGATGGTTTTTCTGGTTTTGTTTGTCAATCAATGTCATTTATGTGAGAGAAATCAAGCAAATATTGGAAGTTCGAGTGAAATTCTCTTTTAATTTCTAAAATTTGTTATATTTTATATTTACATCCAAAAGCAATGATGGAGGTAGGCAGTAAAGATAAATTTCATTAACTAAATAGAATGACTTTTTAGGACCATTTAAACTTATCATCCAGCCATTGTTTCTTAAAGTCAGGAACATTTAAAGAAAACGTGAAAAACAAGACAACAAGTAATCGTGAATGTTTTGTAAGCTATAAAAATATAAATATTAATTAGATTTGTTTATTTATTATTGATCTGTTTTAATATTGGACCTGCAAATCTTCAGTTGAGCTGTCTGACGAGTTTAACAGTTTATTAGTAAAGTACTTTTCAATATTAAACTCCATTGAAAAAAAGAAGCAAACGTAAAAGCAGAGAATAGGTACATTAAAATGCATAAAAGATAACTTTTATAATAAAGGTATTAAAATTTAGAAAACGTCAACAGTTGACATTTCCAGTATTTTACCAAACCGTTCCGTATCAAACCGATGTTTTTCAGGAACCGCTCTTTACCGTAGTTTACCGGTCTGGTTCGCCTGGTTTTGCAACGGAATACAGCCTTAATTCACATAATGGAATAAAATTCCATAGAGTTATATCATCTTACCTCTTAAAACATCTACCGCTGTGATAACTTGAATAAGGAAATGATGGTTTTCTAGTAACTTGTGATCTTTGCTCTTGTTCAACGATTCTTTTAAAGAAAATTTCCATTTCTTTTCCGCCTCTGTATCATGTAGAATGTAATCCCAAGGATCTGAAAATGCCATCGACGTGTAAACAATAATTATAATGATTAAAAAGACAAATTATATTCTTTTTAAATATACAGGGAGACTCTTTAATAAAATTTAACATATATTTGATACCAATTAAACTTTTAGTTACGTAATCGAGTGCGCGATTTTTAAATTCATTGTTGCCAAGCGTTGCCAACGGACATATTCAGTGCCGGGCTGACTAACTGGAATTTAAATTTCCCGCTGGGGATTCAGGTGGTATCTCTGCTCTAAAAAATGTCAACTTGCCAGATTTATTTATTTATTTCCTGACATTGTCATTCGTTTTGACACTTTAGTTTTATACTAAGAGTTTTTGGTTTAAATGAATCATGTTGTGATACTTTAAGCTTAAACATTTTTACTAGCGGACCCTGCAGTCAAACATTGTTCCTTTTAGAACCTCTTATACAGCGAAGTGTACAAGACAGCTTAATAGCCCACTCATCGCAACTTTATTAGAATATTTTGAACGAAAAAACAGTGTCGAACATAATCCAAAAATTACATACAAAATATTTACAAACACACACAACAAAATGTTTACTACAATTAATAAACCAATCGACACTGTTTTTTTGATTTGACACTACACTAATGAAGGCTGTAATGTTGGCCGAAACGTTTGTTTTTCCTTTAAAAATGAAATAAAGATATGAAAAACCAAATGAAAACTTAATCAGAGTTTTCCCGAACCTAAATGCCAAGAAAATAAAAAAAATCGGAATTTTTAGAAACAAGGTTCAAGAATAATAAATTTTCCAAGAGGATAATAACTGTTTTAAATATTTATAATTAATTTATTTTTGTTTCCTAAAATACTTTGATTAAAAGAAAATATGTAAAAGTGGGCAACGCTGTGCTGGTCAAGCTTAATCACGTGACTAAAAGTTTATTTGATATGAACTATAGGTCAGTACGTCTTTCAAGAAAGAAGATATTGTTATGATATACAAAGTCTTCAGGAAATGCATATTAAATACATACAGAAATTAATAATTGTAAAACACACAAAAGTTAATTATCATTCTTACCAAGAAATTCGTGAGCTTTTTTGGATGCTATTATCCACTTTGGCGAACAAATCGGTTTACCCGACCCAACAGCGCACAGTAACTTTTGTGATCTCTTCACATGTTCTGTCACGAGGACTGTACAAGTGGTCACAGAGTCTACCACGCTACCGCCTACAAGAATATAATTTTTATGGAAAATAAAATCACAAACATTTGCATTATTTTTACCTAAATGTTTTATAAAAGATTCCATTTGGGGACTCTCCATCATGGTGAAAACGACTTTTGGTTTCTGTCTTCTCAAACCCCTCTAAAAAATTATTTGTAAGAAATAAAAAAATATATGGCTAAAATTCAGTAAAGTTGCGCACACTTTACTAAAGCCAAATCATTTTATTGTCCTTTCTGATAACTTTAACCTTGTCCTAAGACATTGTTAAATTTGTTTTGATAGTTTCAGAGATATTAATAAGTAAATACATAAAATATTTGTTTAGCCTTTTTTAAAAAATATAAATATACTATAGTTGGTCTGTATGTTCAAAATTCTAGGCCAAATTTTCTTAAAAATATAAAATATTTTTCTTAGTTTTTTTAATGGAACACCCCGTATATTATTTTTTGTTAGATGCCGAATTAAAAAATGAGCATTTGTTGTATTTAACGTATTCGATGACAATCAATGACATTCCCTAAAATGCTTAGTTTCGGAGATACAGGATGTAGAAGTTTGGTGTGGTTTTTATTTTTTTTTTCACTCAGTAGTAACTCTTCAAAATAGTTAAAACACATGTAGGTAGCACCCCCTACAAATAGAGATTATATTGACATCAAAATCAAATTTCTCAGGTCAAAAAACTCCCAGGCACCAATTTTGATTCAAATATTTACGTTACTTCAGAAATTATTTGGAAAAAATCTAAATAAAAATGAAATTTCTACATCCTGTATCTCAGAATCTAAGCATTTTAAGACATACTTTTATACGAACTTTTTTACTTATTTTTATCTGCAGAATATGCTGCCGAAGTTTCCGGAATACAGTTCGGACCACCCTGTTTAATAGGTCGAATATCTGCGAAACGGCTAAAAAAATTAAAATATTTTATATACAAATTTTTTTATTTCTTTTAATTGCCTATCTAGAAGAAAATAATATGGATATAATACAGATGTATCGTTTAAAAAAAACAAAGCAAAATTATTTTATATTTTAGAAAGTTTATTTATTACAGTTGAGGGTTGGAACCTTTGGTGTTACACAGCAAAATAAAAACACTTACACAAATTACACACACACAAAAATCACCACAATACACCAAAACACTTTTACTTTTACACTGGACGCGCGTTTCGCTAACCATGTTAGCATCATCAGCAGATGATTATAAACTGTATATCATCTCTATCAGTTTATAATCATCTGCTGATGATGCTAACATGGTTAGCGAAACGCGCGTCCAGTGTAAAAGTAAAAGTGTTTTGGTGTATTGTGATTTAGTGTTTTTATTAAGTTTGTATATATATACAATATACAGGGTGGTCCGAACTGTATTCCGGATACTTCGGCAATATATTCTGTAGATAAAAATAAGTAAAAAAGTTAGTATAAATATATGTCCTAAATTGTTTAATTTCGGAGATACAGGGTGTAGAAGTTTCATTTTTATTTCGATTTTTTACAAATAATTTTTAAAAAGTAATGTTAATATTTGGATGAAAATTGGTGTCTGGAAGTTTTTTGACATGGTAAATTTGATTTTGATGTCAATATGACTGCTATTTGTAGGGGGCGCCACCTACATGTGTTTTAACTGTTTTGATGAGTAATAACTTTTCGTCCGTACCTGTATAAAATTACTGAGTTAAAAAATATACATTTCCGTGACTTTTGACGTAAAAAATGTCTCTTGGTAAAAATCGCTACGAGCAACCGATCTTAAGATATTTAGAATGGAAATAGTCAATTCATGTCATTATTGACAAAAAATAAACATGTTGAGTAGATAGTTATTTGACTGAAATGATAAAATTGGGACTTTTTATTTTTTTTTAATTTATCATAAACTTTTTTTCGAAAAAATGATGATAAAACAGTTTCTACTGAACTTTTGACACAAAATCACTTCAAATTTATAATTTCAGTGTAATAACTATTTAGTCAACATGTTTAATTCATATCAATGATGACAGGTATTGACAAATTCGATTCCAAATATATCGAGAACCATTAGTCGTAGCAATTTTTACAAAGAGGCATTTTTTACGTAAAAAAACATCGTAAATGTATATTTTTTTTACTCAGTACTTTCATACAGGTACGGACAAAAAGTTATTACTCTTCAAAACAGTTAAAAAATAAGTAGGTGGGACCCTCTAAAAGTAGGAGTCATATTGACATCAAAATCAAATTTCTCATGTCAAAAAACACCCAGACACCAATTTTCATCCAAATATTGACGTTACTTCAGAAATTATTTATAAAAAATCGAAATAACAATGACACTTCTACACCCTGTATCTCCAAAATTAAGCACTTTAGGACATACATTTATATGAACTTCTTTACTTATTTTTAATCTGCAGAATATGCTGCCGAAGTTTCCGGAATACAGTTCGGACCACCCTGTATACAATATAGTAAGTACCTGTCATAGTTTTTTATTTCAGGACACATGATATATTTTTAATAATTTATGTTAAAGAAGGCTGAAAAATATATTTATTGTTTATTTATATCTCTGAAATTGTCAAAACAAATTTAATAATATCTTAGGATTTAGGACTATGTAAAATAATTAAGAATGAAGTCAAAAATGTAATTACCTCAGGACTTGAAAAGGTCTCACTCAGCTGCATCTTTTGTTTTTTCGGTGTCGACATAGACGAAATCGAGCTGGCATCGCTGCTTTCCGAAGCGGTACGATCCATAACGTGTTTTCTTTTTGTCGATTTTCCAGGATATGTCTTAACCACTGACTCACTTCTTCTACTGCCTGCGTCACTGGATTCAGATCCATTATCTTCACTTACAGTTACTTTCTTACCAACCCTAGATGCCCGAAGTTTCGCCATGGGTTTCTGAATGCTGTCACTGGTTTCCTTGGTTTCATTTTTAGATTCAGGTATATCTTTTTTAGTTTTTTCAGATACGTTTTTATCTAGGATGATTTTACTGGCCTGTTCAGAATTTTTGCTGCTGGTTTCCACCGATTTCTGTTCACCTCTCATGCTGCCTGTGTCACTGGATTCAGACCCATTATCTTCGCTTACCGTTACTTTCTTACCAACCCTAGATGTCCGAGGTTTCGCCATGGGTTTCTGGAGGCTGTCACTGGTTTCCTTAGGTTTATTTTTGGAATCAAGGATGGAATTTTTATCTAGGATGATTTTACTGGCCTGTTCAGCATTTTTGCTACTGGTTTCCACCGATTTCTGTTCACCTCTCATTGTTCTTACTACAACACTATTTTCGGGGAACATTTTAGCCACTCTGCTCTCTGTCATAATTGCACTTGTACTAGATGCTGAAGGTTTAACTGTTTCGGTTAAGGCTTTACGCGTTCCTCTTAAACTGACACTAGATTTTTCAGGCAAACTTTTCTTTGTGGAAACTTTACTTCTCCCACGCGTTATATTACTTTTTCTTGTATTATCCGCTGGAAGAACTTCATCTTGCTCCACAATCGCCATACTCCTTCTGTTTTTCGGCACCTTCAAGTCCAGATGCCCGATATTGACCAAGGTAGTATTAGACTTTTTGGTTTTCATAATTTTAGATTCCAATATAGCTATAGACTGGTTAATTTCGGACGTTGTAGTGTTAATTGTCGTATTTGTTCTTTCCTCTTGATACGGTTCTTTAATTGATAAATTTTCATTTAGTTCAGAACTTGAAAGAAGTTTTCTTCTTGAAACTCGTACGGCTTGAGGAGCTGCGGTTTTATCTTCCTTAACAGATATTTTTCGAGTTTTACTAGTTTCACCTTCAGTGGATAATAATCTTTTTCTTGGTTTTCTTGTTCTTGCAGGAATCGCTTTTTCCTCCTCTTTACTCAAATGAACTGGAACAGTATCATCTATCTTAGTTACTTTATGTTTTAAGCTACTTTCTGCCGTAACATGTTCTTTCTCAACACTAGCTGCTTTATCTTCAACATCACTAGAATCGTCTAAAACCTCAAGCAATTGCTGAGTGTTAAAGAAGTTTGAACTTTTGGCTTTTGAAGTTTTTGGTTTAGTTGGATTTCCTTTTGATTCATCAATTGATAATTCTTTATTTTTAGTTGGTGCTCTCTTGCTGCCACTGACCTGAGTGTTTACGTTTGTGGCAATATTTTTATTACTATCAGCTGATAATTCTTTTTCTCCGTTTTTATCTTTGTTTTCTGGTAAAGTTTCTTTTTTAGATTTTTGATCCTTGTTTGATTTATTGACTTCTTCAATTTCTCTTTCTTTAATTTTTCTTGGTATAACTGTCTTACTGGCTGTAGTATCAGGTTTTTCAACTAAATCTTCATCAGAATTTAATTTAGAATTATTTTCTTCATTTTTATTTTCCACAGATAACTTTTCCTCCATCTTCATTTTTTCAGTCTCCTCCTCAAACGTTTTTTCTAGCACTTGTGAAATAGGATTTACTGGCCTATTTTCAACATGATGAGTTGCTAAATCACTAAAATCTACTTCAATGCTACTCTTTATCATGTCCCTCTCCGAATCATGCTTTAGCAAAGTTGAGAGAGATCCATCCAAATTGCAATCAATTTTCTTGAATGAAAATTTCTTTGGCACATTGGATACAGGAACATATTGTGTTGGTTTATCAAATACGTCATCATCTTCATCATCATCATCTGGATCAAGATCATTTGGAGTGGGTTTTAAAACTTTCTGAGTCGGTGCACTAAAAATGCCATCTGTATCATCTTTATTTAATGCACTCTTTTTTCCGAGATCTAGAGGCAGTTGCTGTGTTGCGGCCAAATAAAAATCACTTTCATCTGTCTGTTTAGAAGTTATTGGTGCAGGTTTCGCAGCATTCTTTTTTGGTATGTCAAGTTTTTGTGTTGCAACATCATATAATTGCGAAACACCATCACTTTCATCCAAAATGTTTGAAGTTATAGGTTTCACAAGCTGTAGTTTCTGAGTACTGGCTAAATATAAATCTGTATTATCTTCATATATATTTTCTGTAGTTTTCTTTGAAAAATCTATTTTTTGTGTTTGGACTTCGAATAACTGAGTATCATCTGTTTCTTCACTTTCATCTCTAGCTAACACAGGAGACTTTAGCGACTTTGAACAGCACGGTTCTTGCGAGTTTTTACTTTTATTTAATGCTTGCGGTGGTTCTTCTATCGCCGTTTCTGTAGTTTCAGGTGCAGTTTTCTTGGGCTGCACTTTCTGAGCACTGGCTAAATATAAATCTGTATTATCTTCATATGAATTTTCAGTATTCTTCTTCGGAAGATCAATTTTTTGAGTTGCACCGTCGTACAACTCGTTATCATCTCTTTCTTCCCTAATTAGTACAGGAGATTTAAGAGACTTTGAATAGCACGGTTCTTGCGAGTTTATATTTTTATTTGCTGCTTGCGACTCTTCTGTCATCATTTCTGTTAACCCAAATCGAAAACTCTCCTCAGAAGATGCATTGGTTATTTGACTAAGAGTTTTAGGTTTAGCAGGCATAATAGAGCCAATTTCTTGCGTTGCTGGAATGCAATCAGTATCATTTAATTCAGCTGCAGAAATGTTTTGAGTGGCTGGAATGCTTTTTTCAAAATCCACTCTATTACTTAAATTTTCTTCTGTGTCTGATTCATTAATAATACTGTCCCGGGCAATAACATTACTTCTACTTAAATCATCATTTGTATTGACAGAGCCCTCGAGAGTGACAGAAGACTTCCTTTTGTTTTTAAAAAGATCTTCATCATCTGTTGAATCTGATTCAATATCTTGACTGTTAATAATCCTGGATGATTTTTTTGCTCTTCTAAAATTAAGATCCTCATCAGTGTCAGAAGATGAATCATTTATTTGACATACTGTCTTTTTCTTGAAATTAAAACATTCACTGCTTGAACTTTGTGTCGATGTGGTTTTTCCAGATGAATTTATATTAAGTTTTCCCAAATCTAAAGGCTGTTCTAGTTCCTTAGTTGGTTTGTCCAGTTTGAAGAAATCCGATGAATCATTACTATCTCTATTATCATCCAAATTATTAATATGATTTTTATTAGGTTCTGTTGGTATGTCAATTTCTGTATCTGTTTCTTCACCTTCCTCAGGAGCTTTATTTTCAACACTATTTTGTTTTTCAGTGTTGTCATTTGATTGCATAACTGGTATATCATTTCCTGTTTCTTCAACAGGGTCTGTACCATCAGATTCAATGACCGTCTTTGAGACATCTGATTTGGGATCCATTTTCAGCAAATCAGTTGAATCATTACTGTTGTGATCTAAAATCTCATTATTTGTCTTCGGGATCTCTTCTACTGCTACATTATCTTCACAATCTGTTAATTCATCTTCATCCAAGCAATCCAAGTTATCATTATTTTCAATTCTGTCTTCCTGTATACTGGTCTGTGCTACATCTTCATTAGCAATGCATGGTTCGACTGACTCATAATCAACAATTTGTCTTGCTGATTCACTACTGCTACCAGATTTCTGATTACTGTCATTGGATTCGCACACAAAGCTATCTTTATTTTCAAGAAATGGTAAATAATCATTGTGACAACCATCTGCTATATTATGCATATCTATTAACATACTTGATGATGGAAAATCTGCATTTGTATTTTTTGTGGGTTCTACATTTTCCTTATTTATAGTTTCATTGGTGGAAATAGAAAGCTCATTACTTTTGTTTGATTCATTTTTTGCTAAAAAGTATACAATAAGTATGAAAAGGTGAAAAATGATAAAATACAAATTTTTAGGATACTTAATTTAAGTATATATACAGGGTGGCGCACCTCATTCGCCTCGGTTGATTATACGAAAACAGAATGATGTAGAAACAAAATATTTTAGGGATATATGTGGAAAGGCAATGTGCACAATTAAAAATTATTTTGAAATATACAGGGTGTTTTAGAACTAAGATCCATACCAAAGATATATTTTTTCTTAAGGAACACCCGGTATTTTATTTCATTTTTGGATTTTTGAGCCCAAAAAAAGGCATTTAATATAAAGATTAAATATGTTTAAAATCTTTAGTTTCTGAGATAATTAAAGATATTTAAATTTGCATGCTACAATAGAATAGACTATTAACACCCTGTATATTACTTTTCAGAATTAATACTTATCCTGAGATTAAAGGTTGAGAAATAAACTTTACTGAAAAATGGTATTGGTTCCTTAAATTTATACAGGGCTATCAAAAGTTGCTGATCTATTTTAAGGATATATTTTAAATAAAAACTTTGTTATTTCAAATGTAACACCCTGTATTTTTCTAAATAAATCGAAGCAGATTCAAATGCTCTTTCAAACTATATTAGGGTTTCCTATATCTATCTAGCTCAAATTTTGAATAAAAAGCGATTTTTAAATAAAATTGTAATCAAGATGGCTGGTGTCGCCATGGCAATTTTCTAGTGACAGTAACTATTTTCATAGTCGACATTAGTTTATGGACATTATTATTTATAATTTATAACAGTTTACTTAACAGTTTAATGAGTAAGTATTCATTATTTTATGAAGAAAAATAAAGCAGTATCTGCTGGCGGAACGAATAGATATGTTACTAGTGATATTATTTTGTGAGGAAAATTGCTTCTTGGCCTCAAGGGCTTATGCTCAAAGATATCCAAATAGGAATCTTCCTGATAAGAGTTTCTTTGAAAAACTTCTTGTCCTATTTCGCCTGGTAGTGTGGTTTATAAAAAACCTATTAGGCAGAAACCTGTCGTTGGAAGTGAAGAAAATGAATTTGCGGTAATTGGCTCTTTTATAGAAAATCCATGTATCTACAAGTCATCGTAAAATAATTCAAAGACTACTTCTTCATTTTTTTTTGATAGAATAATAAACACATATTTAATAAATATTATTTATTAAACTGTTGTAGGTAAATTAAATAAAAGTAAACTGGTATAAATTTAAATAAGTACATAAACTAATTTCGATTTTGAAAATAGCTACTAACTGTCACTAGAAACTTGCCATGACAACATTAGCCATCTTGATTACAATTTTATTGAAAAATTGCTTTTTATTCAAAATCTGAGCCAGATAGGTATAGTAAACCCCAATATAGTTTGAAAGAGCATTTAAATCTGCTTCGACTTATTTCAAAAATACATAGTGTTGCATTTGAAATAACGAAGTTTTTATGTAAAATAAATATTTAATATAGACCAGCAATTTTTGATACCCCTGTATACATTTAAGGAAGGAATAATATTTTTCTGTAACGTTTATTTCTCTACCTTTAAACTCAGCACAAGAACTAATTCTGAAAAGTAATATACAGGGTGTTAATAATCTATTCTATTGTAGCCTGCAAATTTAAATATCTTTCAATATCTCAAAAAACAAAGATTTTAAACATATTTAACCCTTATAATAAATGCCTTTTTTTGGGCTCAAGAATCCAAAAATGAAATAAAATACCGGGTGTTCCATAAGAAAAAATATAACTTTGGTATGGATCTTAGTTCTGAAACACCCTGTATATTTCAAAATAATTTTAAATTGTGCACATTGCCTTTCCACATACACCCCTAAAATATTTTGTTTCTACATCTTTCCGTTTTCATATAATCAACCGAGGCGAATGAGGTGCCCCACCCTGTATATTATATATCAAACCAAACCAAACCTTTCACAATATCAAATGGTTGAGTGATAGCTTCATGTATGTCTTCTTCAACAATTGTCACACTTCTTGGTATTTTAAACTGTGAAAATGGCACAACTTGTGTGGGAGCTTCGTGAATATCCTCCACTTCACTGTTATTATTAAATGTTGTATCAACAATTTGAGTGTTTCTTCCATAAAATGTTTGCGTAAAATCTTGAGTAGCTTCAACATTTTCTGTCAAATCCAAATCTAACTCCTACAGAAAAAGATCTCCATTCAATTTATTTTTAGTTATTTAACTTAACATTTACCTCTGTAGTATAAGTACCCAATACATCTCCAAATTTTATTTTTGAATTGTGTTTAACCTGCTGTAACTTAAAGGGGGGAATTCTTATGTTATCACAATACGTTCCATTGCTTGAATTCAAATCGGTTACGAAATGTTCACCTTTTAATGTTATGATAACTGCATGGTTTTGGCTTACATTCTAAAACAGTTTTTGGGAGTTTTTATTAGTTAACAAGTTTCAAATCAATATTCTGGGTATTTTACCAAATTTTTAATATTAACAGTAGCTTCTCTTTGGCGCCCCACTGTATTTAAACCATCGTATATGTTATAAACTTTGTTGTTAATCTTCAGTTTAGCTATCTAAAAAATTATAGCAAAAACCAATTGTTTAGTTGGAAAACTGTTGTAATTTTATCTGTAGATACTTATAACTTACTCGATCCCTTTGGTTATTTATTTCCATGTTCATGGTTTATTCGAAATAATTATTATAAATAACAAAAAATCACATAAACAAGAAATTTAAATTCATGTCAACATGTCAAACGTTGTCATCGGTCAAAAATTATTAAATTTCTTCTTACTTTTCTACTGTTGGCTCTAAGCTGTCAGAGCTATTTAACAAGCCATTTAAAAGAAAAAAAAGAAGAAAACTATATTGAATCTGTGGTTGGACCTTGTTTCATGCCATAAATATAAAAAAGTAGAACATTACTTTTTATTCTTTGGTTCTGGTTCTTTTAAGACCTAAAATATGAAAAAGAAGAAGAATGCTAGTGGCGCCATTGTGGAAAAAGTGAGAAAATTTTGAACTAAAATGTTTCCCAGGTTGTCAAATATTAACGAAATCCTGAAACCTGAAACTAATCTAAATCAATAACTTTGTCAAAGACAGTCTAAAATGAATTGAAGCGTTACAAAATCATGATAATCTAACAAACATAATATAATACAAACTTTGTTTCAGTAGAATAAATAATATATTTTCTTTTAGATACAGCATTATTTATGCAGCAAAAAATTACCATTTTTCATGGGTTCAATCTGACAACATTGACCAATGTTCCGTTGTTGGTGGCGAGTTATGTCGTTCATACAATTTTGCTGATTTTTTGATAGAAAAAAACTGATTCTTCTGGATTCTGTTTGAGAGTATTCTGTTCCTTAATACCTGCTTAACCTCGTCAAAACGTAAATACCCTTTTATTTTGGTTGTTTTCTATAGTTTTTTTACTTTGCAATTTTTCAATTACATCATCATTGAAAGCTGATATATTTTTCATAATTTTCTTTTTAAAAATCGTGTGTATGGAAATATAGATACATTCCTTGATGTCTCTATTGTACATTAAAAATAAAGTTACTTAGAATAATGCTCCATATACAGAGATTTTTCTTATTTTTTGGACCATTTTTTAGTAGAGTTCAAAGACGTTTTTTATTCCTAAAGAAATTTTTTAGTTCTTTCTTCCCATAGACAAACAAGTACTTTCTACATGTTTTAAAACTAGTCGGTGTTAGTATACCTAAAGGGGACCCCCATTTTCAATAATTATATAATACTTTGAGATAAAATAAAATACTTTTAAACACATATGTTTAATGCTACATCATCATTACATTATCATATTTAAGTTAATAATTTTGCATTGTTTTAATACATACTTATAAGGCCTTAATAATAATTATTTTCTCTTTTAGGAGCTCAGTAATAATACACACCAGCATGTATTATAAAGGCCACCTAAAGGAAGAGTGGGCGACCACTTATATGTATAATCCTGATGTTCGACCATCATTCTGGTTTATGAGTTGGTCTTCCATCATCTTATTAAAAGTAAATTTACTTTATTATTTTAAAATAATTTTAATAACTTATTAAAACAAGTTTATTAGTAGACTAATCATAGCTTTTAAGATATATTTAATATTAATGAATAAGAGTAGAAAATACGTACATAAGGGTTATAGCATAATTAATGAAATGTAATACTATTTGTTTCTTTTTTTGCAGGTTTTCTACAAATTCTGCAACAAATCAATGGATATATACAGTTTCAGGGCAGTACATTTATCCTTTTCATGAATATTACCAACAATAATGCATCGGGACTTATATATAAGTATATCAAAAATTATTTCTTTTGGGTAAATATATTTTTACTGGTTTTTAACACTCATCAGTGGAGTTAAATTTAATGAAGAAAAAAATCCATTTAATCTGTAGGTTACATTTTTATGGTTTCTTATTATCATAGAGAAAATCAGACCCTCTATTTTTAATTTAGCCTAATCTTTTTGATAGAATACTGTCTAGTTAAAAATTCAAGTTGTTTTTGGTTTACTTTTATTTCTCTATAACAGCCTGACTTCCATATATTCTTAATTGTGGAAATAATAATCAGTAATGAGCCAAATATTTTATTGTCTGTATTTCTATGTCTTATTGGTTTGGTAAAATATACTATCTACGTACAGTTTTTCTTGATGTTCTTTATGGTGAACTTTTATTTCTTTATAATAGCTTCACTCTCATATTTTCTTCATTGAAGGCATAATAACATCATTTATCGATTTTATAAATATTCTTTTGACGTATTTCTATGTCTTATTCGTTTGGGGTAAAATATACCATCTACTCAATTTTACTTCATGTTATTTTTGGTTTACTTTCCCTATAATAAATTGATACCCATATTGTGTGTACTTATTTTAGATTGACCCTCTGTAATATGAATGTTTGTGGTAATAATATCAATTATTATCAATTCTCTAAAATATTCCATTGACTGTACTTCTATAAGTCATGTTTTATTTGTATTATTTTTCTTCTGGTGTCAGTCCTCTAATACTTTTTTATGTACCAGGTGGCCAACTAAGAATGGACGTCGGCTGTATCACAGAAACTACTTATCGTATAACTCTAAGAAAAAAATTCTAATAAATAAATCGACCAAGAGAAATCGCCGGAAGTTATTTTCAAGTTCGAAAAATGTCCGCTAGGGGGCGTTTCTCTGATAGCCATTCAGAAAACAGAGTTTTTCTCAAAAATCTGCAGGTGAACAGGTATTTTAAATATTACTATTGTAATCATCGAGAAATTTGCAATTTTTTTGATATAAAGTATTTTGATCTATCTCATAAAATAAAGTGGTGGGGGAAGGATCAAACTTGCTTTTATTAAAATAAGGATAACTCTGGTTTAGTTTACCCGATTTTAACAAACTAGGGCTCGTTTAAAAGAGCTTTTCTTCCTAAATGATCTCCAGTATAAATTTTGTTTCCATTTTTTTTTGTGGTAGCTAGAGGGCGCGATTTGACATCGTAACATATATTGCGCTTTTGCATAAAAGAATTAAATAGGAGGCTATATTTCTCTTTTCACAGTTAAATAGAGCACAAAATTTTCAAAATAGCAGCGCAAACCGCAACTTTCTAGCTTCTCTCTAACCGGAGATATTAAGAGAACAAATAATGTTAGGCTGCCGCTTAGGATTATATGGTCTAAAAATTATAGTAGTAGGCTAGGAAACAAAAAGAGGTAAATTTGTTACGTCAAAATATCAAAACGCTTAAGTTCAGTTTTTATGCATCTGAATTTCGGGCGTTTACTTAAAAAAATGACGTCATAAATATTTAAACGTATTAAATATGTAATTATGTTTAATGTGTTCATTATCATTCATACATATAATTTTTGCCAATTTCTTGGTTAATTATACGTAGGTTAGTTCTCAGATTAAAATGTCCGAAAGTCGGACAATCAATAATTTTATTAAAATTTGTAGGAATTTTGTGCCGCCATATTGACTTTAACAGAAAACGGCCGAATTTCGTATAGCCGAAAACTAGGGGTTTATTTCATGTAACGTCATTACAGTTATTAGTTATTGATCTCCGAAAGTCTGACAATCAATAATTTTATTAAAATTTGTAGGAATTTTGTGCCGCCATATTGACTTTAACAGAAAACGGCCGAATTTCGTATGGCCGAAAACTAGGGGTTTATTTCATGTAACGTCATTACAGTTATTAGTTATTAATCCAAGTTCGTCCTTGATTTCACTTGTTATCGTGTTTTACCTGTTGTTTGTGCTAATTTTTATTATATTATAAAATTTGTGTCGTTTGGGTCACTTTTCATATAACACCGAGGTTGCGAATCTTAACAATACACTACTGGCCCAAATCTACCCTTGATGCAAATAGTTCAGGACCAAGACCGTTGGTCGGTAAATGTTTAGACAGGAATTCTATGATGGCGAATGATTGGACTTTTTTAATTGTCTGAATGAAATGAACTATCCATAATTTCTAAGAAATGAATTGCCATTTTGTTAGGGGTTCCATTATGATGAAAATGCATTTGTTACAATTTGCAGTTGTGCCGCTTATTTTGCTATGAATGTGTGGGGCTTGTTGGATACCACTTCCTTTAGTAGATAGAGACGCTGGAGCGGCATATTTCTATGGCCAGCTAAGTCATCGGCTAAGTCATCAGCCTGGATTTTAATTTATGTGGTCGAATCAAGAACGAACATTGATAAATAACAATTAAATTGTATTAAAATTAAATTAAAATATACGATTTGATATTTTGACGTAACCAATTTACCTCTTTTTGTTTCCTAGCCTACTACTATATTTTTTAGACCATATAATCCTATGCGGCAGCCTAACATGATTTGTTCTCTTAATATCTCCGGTTAGAGAGAAGATAGAAAGTTGCGGTTTGCGCTGATATTTTGGAAATATTGTGCTCTCTATAACTGTGCAAAGAGAAATATAGCCTCATATTTAATTTTTTTAGGCAAAAGCGCAATATCTATAAGAAAAGTTCTTTTTAACGAGACCTAGTTTGTTTAATTCGGGTAAGCCAAACCACAGAGTTATCCTCATTTTAATAAAAGCAAGTTTAACCTTCCCCCACCACTTTATTTTATGAGATAGAACAAAATACTTTACATCAAAAAAATTACAAATTTCTCGATGATTACAATAGTAATATTTAAAATACCTGTTCACCTGCATATTTTTGAGAAAAAGTCTGTTTTCTGATTGGCTATCAGAGAAACGCCTCCTAGCGAACATTTTTCGAACTTGGAAATAATTTCCAGCAATTTCTCTTGGTCGATTTACTTATTAGAATTTTTTTCCCAAAGTTATATGATAAGTAGTTTCTAAGATACAGCCGGCGCGCGGCGTCCATTCTTAGTTGGCCACCCGGTACCTATATGTACTCTTGCCCTAAATTTTAGTTTTGATGGATCCATTTTCATGTCCTTTTTTTAGTTCATATGCCATGAATTGCTGTCATTTTACAGATCCTACTAGTGGCTACTAGTTTGGTTTGCCCGTTTTTAAATATAATTTGATACCCATATTGTGTATACTTATTTTAGATTGACCCTGTATATACATATGAATGTTTATAGTAATAATATCATCATTTATCAATTCTATAAAATATTCCATTGGCTGTATTTCTATTAGTCTCCTTTTATTTGTATTATTTTTCTTATCTAATACTTTTTTTTCTTGCCCCAAATTTTAGTTTTGATGGATTTTCATATTTTTTTTAGTTCATATGCCGTGAATTTTACAAATTATGTTAGTTTGATTTACCCGTGTTTTAATAACACATTTTAAATTTCCACCATAATGTTTAATTTCCAATCAATTCCTGGCGAATTTGCGACTTTTAGCCCCACTTCTGGATTTTTAACATTTTTTTCAATGGATTTTCCTGGTAACTTCAACTCCAGAGCATCATAACTAGCCTCCCCTAAGAGGAGGAGATCTGGGTCACCCCTCACCCCCTAACCCTGATGTTCGGCCATCGATGACCTATGTAGCATGCGTAGGTACCCAAGGGAGTCACCACCCTCTGGTTTACGAGCTAGGTGTTAGTAGTAGTAGTAATGCTAGGGGCTTCGGCCCTTAGCTTCGGCCGGATACGACCTGGCACCCAAGCTACGAGACTTCTTCGTGCACGTATCCCGTGACCCTCGAAGGCGCAGGGGGCGAGATATCTGACACATGATAAGGGGGGTCCCGGTGGATGTCCGCTCGATGGGTAACGAGGATGACCTGAGACGAGGCTGCTTAGCTGGGATGGGAACTGACTGGTGAGGCTTAATCGTCGGCCAAGGGTTAAATCTGATGAAGGGGGGCGAACTTATATGCTCTGGAGAATTTTTCTCTATGTGCTTGTTGTCAAATGTTGACTAGATATTTCTAAGAGGAGGCTAAGCGTAATCTTTAGTCAATTTTCCAGTTCTTATTGACCAGAGACCTCTATATATTTTTTATTATCTAATACTGTTTATTCCATCTTGCTTTGGCCTACCTTTTTTTTACTATTTTGTCTTTTATATTTTATTATTATTAACATATCATTCATCAATGCTATAAACTCTCCAATGATGGTATATTTTGGTGTCATTCATCTGATACTTTTCTAACATATATATTTCATTATTTCTATTGCCTGTATTGCATTATAGTTTTTTTTTTATTAATTTTCGTTTTAATTTTTCAAATTCATCATATATTTATTTCTTTATTTTTCACCCACATTTTTTTTATTGTTGGAATATCATCATTTTCTATTGATTGTCTTGTTTATATATTTGTATTTTTTTTGTGACACCTAAGCCATTTATATTTTCAATTCATTATATCTCTATTTTACTACGAGTATTTGTTTCCAATATTTTCTTCATTACTAGAATGCCATCACTCTCTTCTCAATCATCGGTCTTCAACTCAATCTACTGCTATTCTTCTAAGACTTCTAAGTCTTTGTTCATTTCTATTGTCTACTTAGAATTGTATAGTTTTGGATTAATTTTCTAATTGATTTTTTTATTTCGTTTCTTATTCCTTTTAAAACTGATTTTTTGGATAGGATATTGTACTGCTTTGGAACAACAATTTTTGGACAAGGACAGCTGCACATCAATTCAACCACACTCTTCGTATCATTGGGTTAGGATGTTATTAGGTTGATTAAATTCAACAATCAACAGCGGATTAAGAACGAAATTCATCATTGAAGAGGAAGCTAAATAATTTTAGGTAAACTCTAAAGCGTGTCATTTTTAAAATCAAATATCTTCATAGTATATAAAATGTTAATGTTTCTCTGTGTCGTCTCTACTGAAGTAACGACTTGCTCTAGAACGTTGCTTTTTTTACTAAAAGATAGCTGATTGGCTCTTCTAAAAACTGTTGTCGCCGGATTTTTTGTTTTTCATTTAATTAAAAAAATAAAAAGCATTTTTTCCCTGATGTCGTGGCGGATGCGCCAGGCTTCAACTACTCGTAGTATTTAATATTTATTAAATACTAGTTGAAGCCTGGTATTTACCTAATATAATGTTTCGTAAAATATGTAGTTATAAATTATATTATTTTCAAATAAAATATTTTGGTGCACATTTTATTTAGTTTAGACAACTGAAAATACATCAAGAGTTTAAATTATTTTTATTTTTAGACAAGTATAAAAAATACACTTTACGTATACAGAGTGTCTCATTATCATGCTACGTTTTTTTGGAATCAAAATAAGTTCTTTGAACAAATTTTTTCCTATACAAAAGTGCCTATAATTTGTTCGTTAAAGGGCATCAAGTATTAAAAAAAATTTGTTGTGACGTTTTTTTACAAGAGACAAGAAATGTAGTAAATTAATACTATGAGGACCATTTTGTGAAAAATCAGTCGTTGGAAAATATTTATACTAATATTTATGTATGGATGGGGTAGTCCTTCCCGTACTTTTTCTTGATTTTTGTGAAAGTCAATAATTGTTAAAGCACTTAGCAAAACATAGGTAAAACATCTTAAAAACGTATTTATTTTCTTAAAGTTTGATTCCATCTAACAGACATTTTGAAAAGAGGTAAATTGTGTCCAATGAACTTATTTTGATGGAAATTTGGGACACCCTGTATATAGTTTTCGGTATTTTTTTTTAATTTGGTTTTAGCATTTTATTAAAAGTATTATAATTAAAATATTTCTGAATTACATGTACAGCTAGTTCAACTATGTTTTTTCCCTGTATAACTATTAAAAATAGTTATTTATGTTACTGTAATTTCTATGTACCATATGATCGAAAAAAAATGGCGTCCAATTGGCTTGGAAATGAACATCAATCACACATTCCCCCTATAATTTTACATATAAAATGATGACGATATTTATTTCATAGCCATCGCTGACGCTCTTTTTTTTTCGATCATACGGTATAATATTTTATGTACCCTGTCACTTCACTGATTATTTAAAGTTTTTAAAGTTATGGAATAGTTTTTAATTAAGCTTTTTATTGAACAAATAATTAATTATTTTTTTATACTTTTATTACAGAACCAAGATCCAGAAGTGTAGCGAGAAGATTTACTTAGGTACCTCAACATAGTCTTCAGCATATCCATCAACACTGTTAATTTAATATACATTTATAATAAAATATAATACGTAAATAAATAATAATTAATAATAAATGAGTTTTATTACGCAAAAATATACATATTAGAAAACTGTCTAATCTTGAACAAAAAGAAAAAGCCTTTTAGTATTATCCAAAAAAATATAATATAATATATACTTACACTAAACAACTAACGTGGTCCAGGAATAGACAGTATTCTATATAAAAAGAATACCCTACATTTACCTCTTCGCTCTTATGTACTCCTGATACAAATCCGAGAAAATTCGGCTTTTAATAAAAATTGAACGAAAAATGTTAATCCTTGTCCAAAATCACTGATTTCTATCAGGAACACATTAAGTGCGAAGAGGTAAGGATTAAACTGAGTACCAATATTTACCTCATCGCTCTTATGTGCTCCTGATACATATCCGAGAAAATTCAATTTTTGTCAAAGACTGCACGAAAATTTTTAAACCGGGTCAAAAATCGCCGATTTCTATCAGGAACACTTAAAAGCGAAGAGGTAAGAAGCAAATTTAGTACCACATTTAAATAAAGCATCGATCAACGATATTTCTGCTATCTCTAGCACTTCGAACTCGTTTCCAAACTTCAACCCTTAATATCTCGGAAACTATAAGGGTTAGAGAGGAACGGAACTCGGCTTTCGATAGGCATTTCAACCCTCTATAAGGGCGCAAAACGAGGGCGCGATCGGAGAGCAAAAAATTTTTTGGCGAAAAATGAGGTAAGGGGTTAACCTTCCTTCATTTTTGGCGAAAAATTTTTTTTGTCTCCGATCGCGCCCTAATTATGCACCCTTATAGAGGGTTGAAAGGCGAATCGAATGCCGAGTTCCGTTCCTCGATATCTCTTATATTTCGGAAGTTATGGCCGTTTTTCGAAAAAATCTAACTCATTCTAACTCGTTGGTCGGGTACTCCAATTTTTGCTGGGTCGAAATTATTTTTGGTCGCTTTTGTTAAAAATGAGGAATCTTGAATTTGTATCGGGAACATATGAGCGCGAGGAGGTATATACGTTTGCGATTTTTAAACTACTAAATCACCTTTTCGACCTTATGTGCTCCTGATGGAGATCAAAGACATTCGAACTTGCAACGAAACTTATTTATATATAGAGCAAATGAATTCTCTATCGAATGGCCATAAAAGCACTTACTTCTTTTGCTTCGTCGTATTATCTGGATTAGTTTGACTGTTCCATTGCTATCAGGAGAACATAAGAGCAAGGAGATGAATAATTGTATCTTTTGGAGTTTTATATACTTGATCTTTTTACTAGAAGTAATTTTCAAAGAAAACAAAAAGTAATTTTAATAGTTTTATTTATCCATAATAAACTACTGGACACATACACACATATATTTGACAAAGATAGTTAAATCTAAATAAAAGTAAATTTATTCTAATTAGTATTGCTAAACTAATAAACAGTGTAAACGATCTAAGTTTTATGATCAAAGAGGCTTTGATTTTGATGGTTAAAAATAAAGGTAATCCTACACTCACCGGCACGAAAAACGGGCAAAACGCAACTTTGATGCATTTTGAAGTTTTATACAGGGTGTTTCAAAACAAATGCGAAAAACTTCAGGAGGGGTAGTAAAATAAAGGGTAGTTTGCTTTATAAACGTTGGGTCAAAAGTCAACCATTAGGGAGATATCGCGGTATAAAGATGGCGGAAATATAATAAGTTTTTATTTTTTTTTCTTGAACACGAAAAGCGGTCGACTAATGAAATTTTATGGAAGCATTACTGTTACGAAAACACACTTTCTGGTAATTTTCTCACTTTTTTAAAAAGAGTGGAAGGGGTTGAAATAAATTACCCCTATCATCTTTGTAAGATAAGATTTTGTAATTTGTAAGATAAAACTTTTTTATCTCTTGTGTTTTGATAAAACTCACCGATTTGAAATTAACAAATAAAATGTAACGCCTTACATGTCAAGACAAAAAACATTTTCAGATTAGATCTAGTGGGCTGCTGTTATTCTTTTAGGAAAAAATCTAGTCGGCCGCTGTCACTTTTTAGGATGATTCTAATATTATTTTATTCGACATTACTTTACTGCAATACGTTATTATCTAGATAATTATTATCGTTATTATCACTATATTCGTTATCTAAAAATGTGTTTTGTCCTGACATGTAATGCTTTACATTTAATTTTTTAATTTCAAATCGGCAAATTTTATCAAAAAAACACAAGAGATAAAAAAATTTCTAAACAAACTAAACTCTCCAAATTATTTTTTTTGCATGTATTTGACCTAACCAAAACCAAATGCATGGTTTTAATGTAAAAATTAAGAAAAAATGTTAGTGTGTTCTTCAAAAGCGAATATCTCCTACAAAAATATAGTTATTGAGATGAACTTTTTAAATTTCATACTGTCTTAACATATTAACACTTAACATCTCAACACAGGGTGTTTCAAACCTTCACCAAAATATCAACATATTAGGTGCTAAAAAGTGAAGTAATTTAGCTACATATTGCTTAATAAATCATTAAAATCGGCACATTAGGACAATATATTAAACTTTATATATGAAAATTTTAAGGTGCCCGTTTTTCTTGCTGGTGAGTGTATTTTCCATAAGTATTGTTTATTTATCATTATACAAAGTCAAGAATAGTTAAACTAATTATGGTGTAAAATACACGTAAAAAACTGTAAAAAATGTAAAAAACTTAAAAGCAAAGAAATACATTGTTCTCTACATACATTATTTTTGCCTATAATTCGATCTCTACATAAAAGAGAAGATATATTAACAATAAAATAACTAAACATAATTAAATAAATTAAACAATATAATAGAAAAAACTGGCCTCCAGTTGGCTTTTAAATTACAATTTATGAAATTCCCCATATAAATATAATTTAGAAAATTCTTTAATTTAGAAAATATAAAATGACTAAATTTCTAAACCATCTCTGACGCCGTTTTTTTTTCAATCGAATGGTATCTTTTGTACATTGCAATAACAGTTAACAGCGTTTTCAAAGAAGCTTTACATAAAACCTAAAAAATACCTTATAATATAATATATAACTACTAATTCCACACGTAAAAAACTAGTTATATTCTTGTAATAAACTTGTTTTTTACATGTAAAGAACTATTTTTCTACATCTAAAAATATTTCTTTACTATAAGATTTTAATCAACAACCATCCGTGGTTTTAATCACATTATATGCATATTTAATTATCATATACAGGATGAGTCTTAAATTAGCGCTTTTTAGTTAAAAAACATAATTTCTTGATAATATGCAAGAAAGAATTAAATTTACAAGAAACAAAACCCAGAAAAGATCCAGTGGTTCGAAAAATTTAAGCAAAAAATAATTTTTGTTTGGAAATTTTCAAAGTAAAATAACTCTGTTATTTTGGACTTCTAAAAAACTTTTTTTTTTAAAAAGGTAGAGAGAAAACATATACAGAGCGGTCCGAACTGTATTCCGGAAACTTTGGCAGCATCTTCTGCAGATAAAAATAAGTAAAATAGTTCGTATAACGGTTAACCAATTGAAGCCTTTAAATACAACCAATGAAATTAATATCGTATCAACCAGTTCCAACGTATCGTCGGACAACAGATGCATAAAAATCAAGCTTAAATGTATGTCCTAAAATGCTTAGTTTCGGAGATACAGGGTGTAGAAGTTTCATTTTTATTTCGATTTTTTCTAAATAATTTCTTAAGTGACGTCAATATCTGGATGAAAATTGGTGTCTGGGAGTTTTGTGATACGAGAAATTTGATTTTGATGTCAAAATGACTCCTATTTGTACGGGGCGCCACCTACATGCGTTTTGACTGTTTTGAAGAGTAATAACTTTTCGACGGTACCTGTATAAAACTACTGACTAAAAAAATATACATTTCCATGATTTTTTACGTAAAAATGTCTCTTGGTAAAAATCGCTACGAGCAACCGTTCTCAAGATATTTAAAATGGAAATAGTCAATACATAGTCATTATTGACAAAAAAATAAGCACACGTTGAATAGAGTTATTTGACTGAAATAATACATTTTTATTTTTTTAAATTAATCATAAATTTTTCTGCGAAATAATGATGATTAAACAGTTTCTGTTGAACTTTTGGCACAAAAACATTTCAAATTTAAGATTTCAGTCTAATAACTATTTGGTCAACATGTTTAATTTGTCAATGATAACAGGTACAGATAATTTCAATTTCAAATATCTCGAGAACCATTACTCGTAGCGATTTTTACCAAGAGACCTTTTTTATGTAAAAAAAGTTGTAAATGTATATTTTTTACTCAGTAGTTTTATACAGGTATGGATGAAAAGTTATTACTCTTCAAACCAGTTAAAGCATATGTAGGTGGCGCCCTCTACAAGTAGGAGTCATATTGACATGAAAATCAAATTTCTCATGCCCAAAAACCTCTAGATACCAATTTTCATACAAATATTGACGTTACTTCTTAAATTATTTGGAAAAAATCGAAATAAAAATGAAATTTCTACACCCTGTATCTCCGAAACTAAGCATTTTAGGACATACACTAAACGAACTTTTTTACTTATTTTAATCTGCAGAATATGCCGCCGAAGTTTCCGGAATACAATTCGGACCACCCTGTATTTCTTTTATCGAGATCTACCAGCTCTGAAAATATTTGCAGTTATTAAAGACTCACTCTGTATAGGTATAACTTAACTAAAACATTACACTTAAATATCTCATCTGTAACCAATATAAATAGTACTCTAATTATTAATATGACCTAACATTTTTGAAATATAAAAACTTATATTAATTTTAATGTAATTCCTCATAGAAAATGATTCTTTATCCATGCTTAAAGCCTCCTTGATTAGAAAACTTTTTTATTGTACAGTATAGAGTTCCAAGAAAATGATCAAGAATAAAATTAAAATTTAAATAATCTTGAATTCTGCATTTTTATTTTTTATACAACTGGAATCTACTGGAATATAGACTTTTATGATATAAGAATTTTTTTAACTTAAATATTTAAAAAGTTTATAAATAAATTACAGAATTCAAAAACATTTTTCATCAAATATGTAAACATTTGTACAAAAAATATCATAAAACTTTTAAAACAAAATGTTCAGTGTTTCTAAAGTCTTCTTGAGATGTGTGCAGAAGAAATCTCCTTGAAATACAGAAGTACCAGTACTAGCTGCAGTTGTTGTAGAATGATTTTCAAAAATCTGAAAATAAGAAGGTTTATAAATAAATTTGAAATTAATTAAAAAAATGTTTAATGTGTGTAATATAAATAAAATATTACTAAAACTACTATAACAAACTAAAGGTCATAATAATATTAATAAAAAAATGTAGTGTAACTTACCTGAAACTATTTAGTTCCTCTTCAATGACAGATTTTATCCTCAGTCCATTGTTGAATGTTGAATTTAATCAAGCTAAGGACATCTTAAAGAGGGCGGTTGAATTGAAGTGCAGCTGTCCCAAAAAATCCTTGTTCCAAAGCAGTACAATATCGCATTCAAAAACTCAATTAAAAAAATTAAGAAAATTTAAGTTTAGATTTACTCTGTAAGGTATGAAAACAGACAATAGAAATAAAGTGCCTTAGAGAAAGAAAGTCACAAAATGACATGAATAAAAAAATTAAAAAAAATTATACAAGTAAATGAGGTTTTAGCAATTTGAACATATAGAAAACGAATAGAAAATTTCACAGAATAAAAATAATAGGAAACAAATACAGAACAGAGGTATGTAGAATTAAAAAAAAGCATAAAAATGAGCGACGAACTAAGAGAAGTCTTAGAAGAATGACACAAAAAAATTACAATTATATAATATAATTGACGAATGATAGAAAAATATTAATGAATCATAGATATAAAACAGGAAAAAATATAGGAAACAAATAATGACATAAAGTATGTCTCAGAAAAGTCTCAGAAGAATGACCTAAAAAAATTATAACAATATATAAAAAAGACAATCAATTGCAACAGTTTATAGAAATGATAAATTATGACACTCTCATATGGAAGAAAGTATGAGAGAAAAATAACGAAACATAGAGGTATGATGAAATGAAAAAATTGGCATGAAAATTAGAGATAAATTGGATAAACAATGGCATAAAAATGGATAAAAAAATATATAATTCTATTAAGGCAATAGAAATGTTGAAATAAGTCTTAGAGAAATCTCAGAAGGATGATACACAAAAAAGACAATCATTGGAAGAGTTTATAGCATTGATATATGATGATATTCTAATAATAAAGAAAATATAGAAGACAAAAATTGTGTAATAGAGGTAGGCCAAAATCAAGAGAAAAAAATAAAGAAGTATGTGATAAATAAAAGGTGGCCAAAGATTATGCTTTACAAGCACAAGTTCCTCCAGAGCATATAAGTTCGCCCCCCTTTATCAGATTTAACCCTTGGCCGACGATTAAGCCTCACCAGTCAGTTCCCATCCCAGCTAAGCAGCCTCGTCTCGGGTCACCCTCGTCACCCATCGAGCGGACATCCACCGGGACCCCCTACAGGCGGACCCCCCTCATCATCTTCAATGTGTCCGATATCCCGCCCCCTGCCTCTTCGAGGGTCACGGAATACGTGCACGAAGAAGTCTCGGAGCTTGGGTGCCAGGTCGTATCCGGCCGAAGCCTCTAGCATTAGAACACCTAGCTCGTAAACCAGAGGGTGGTGACTCCCTTGGGTACCTATGCATGCTACATAGGTCATCGATGACCGAACATCAGGGTTAGAGGGTGACCCGGGTCTCCTCCTCTTAGGGGGGGGCTAGTTATGATGCTCTGAAGTTGAAGTTACCAGGAAAATCCATTGGAAAAAATGCTAAAAATGCAAAAGTGCCAAAAAACGAAAAAATGGCAAATTCGCCAGGAATTGATTGGAAATTTATCATTATGGTATGGAAGTTTTAAATGTATTATTGAAACACGGGCCAAATCAAAACTAATATAATCCGTAAAATTCATGATGGCATATGAACTGAAAAAAATTATATGAAAATGGACCCATCAAAACTAAAATTTGGGGCGAGAAATTACACAAACAAAAAAGTATTAGAAGAATGACAGCATAAGAAAAATAATACAAATAAAAGAAGACTTATAGAAATACAGTTAATGGAATATTTTATAGAATTGATAAATGATATTATTCCCACAAACAATAACATAATATACAGGGTGAATCCTGAATATACAAGGTATCAGTTTATTATAGGGAAATGGAAAGTAAACCAAAAATAACATGCAGTTTACCAAACAAATAAACTATAGAAATACAGTCAAAGGAACATTTATAGAATCGATAAATGATGTTTTATTTCCATACAATGAAGAAAATCTTGGAGCGAAGCTATTATCCAGAAATAAAAGTTAACCATAAAAAACATCAAGTAGAATTCTAAGTAGACAGTATATTTTACCAAACAAATAAGATATAGAAATACAAACAATAAAATATTTGGCTCATTACTGATTATTATTTCCAATATTAAAAATATATGGAAGTCAGTTAATAAGTCAATCAGTCAATAATTGTTATAGAGAAATAAAAGTAAACCAAAGACAACTTGAATTTTTATCTAGATAGTATTCTATCAAAAAGAAAAATTAGCCTAAAATAAAACTAGAGGGCCTACTAGGGGATTTTTTCTACGATAATAAAAACCATAAAAATGTAACCTAGAGACTGAATGGATTTTTTTCTTCATTAAATTTAAAAATGATAAACTCCACTGAAGAAGATTAAAATCCAGTAAAAATATATTTACCCAAAAGAAATACAGTTTTTGATATACTTATAAGTCCTGATGCATTGTTGGTAATATTCATGAAAAGGATAAATGTACTGCTCTGAAACTATATATATCCATCGATTTGTTGTGGAAAATCTGTAAAAAAAATGAAAATATATAGTATTACATTTGATTAATTATGCTATAATTCGTATGTATTTTCTACTTATTCATTAATATTAAATATATCTTAAATTTTTTTTTTAAATAATAAAATAAATTTACTTTTCATAAGATTATGGAAGACCAACTCTTAAACCAGATCGATGGCTGAACATCTGGATTGTGTAAGTGGTCGCCCACTCTTCTTTTAGGTGGTCTTTGCTGATGTCTATTATTATTAAAAGCTCCTAAAAAAGGAAATAATAAATATTAAGGCCTTATATGTTTAAAACAATGTAAAATTGCTAATAAATATGATGATGTAATGATGAGTATTAAACATGTGTTTAAAAGTATTTTATTTTATCTCAAAGTATTATATAATTATTGAGAATGGGGGCCCCCTTCAGGTATACTAACACCGATTCATTTTAAACGACGTAGAAAATACTTGTTTGTCTATGGGAATAAACAACTAAAAAATTCAATCAGGAATAAAAAACTTCTTTAAACTCTACTAAAAAATGGTCCAAAAAATACCAGAAATCTCTAAATATGGAGCATTATTCTAAGTAACTTTATTTTTAACGCACAATAGAGACATTAAGGAATGTATCTATATCTCCAGACACACGATTTTGAAAAAGAAAATAGGAACAATCAGCTTTGAATGATGATGTAATTGTAAAATTTTAAAGTGATAAATACTATAGAAAACAAACGAAATAGTGAATACTTACATTTTCACGAGGTCAAGCATGCGTTAAGGAACAGAATACACTCAAATAGTATCCAGAAAAATCAGTTTTCTATCAAAAAATCAGCAAAATTGTAAAAGCGACATAACTTCTTATTAACAACGGAAAACGTCGTACTGTCAATGTTGTCAGATTGAACACATGGTCATTTTTTGTTGCATAAATAACGCTATGTCTAAAAAAAATAATTACGAAGATAATATCATAGATAATATTTCGAAAATATATTATAAAAAAAGTTCGTATTATGTGTTTGTTGGATTTGTCATGATTTTGTAATGGTTTAATTAATTTTATACTGACAAAAAAACATTCATTTAGCTTCGTTTCAGGATTTTCCTAATATCTTGGCAACCTTGAAAACACTTTAGTTCAAAATTTTCTCACTTTTTCCACAATGGCGCCACATGCAATCTTCTTCTTTTTCATATTATAGGTCTTAAAAGTACCAAAACCAAAGAATAAAAGTAATGTTCTTCTGGGGGAACTGAGGAACGCGGTTTCGATTCCGCGTAATCAAAGTAAGCACCTGTCTAGTTAACTGGACCACAGAATTAGACTGCAAAAAAGAGAATATAAACACCACTTTTTTGAGAGAAGAAGTGAGGTTAGATGTCTTTATATCGTGACAGTTTATGTCAGATTGTTTTTATTTACGCAATTATTCATGATGAGTACCATTCAAGAAAGATTGCAATTAAAACGAGAACCACTAGACAAATGGTCGATTAGGGAACAATTATGTCTAGCCTCTGCTGTTGCCCGAAGTGGGGACCAAAACTGGATGTCCGTCAGTAGAGCCTTAAAACCCTTCGGTGAACCTAATCGGCCGGCAGATTGGTTTCACCAGAAGAACTGTGCCGCACAATATGGGGCCTTGTTGGGTAACGTTGAGACACCTAAACGTAAAAAGAGAATTTCGGGCGGAGTTGAAACAGGCATAGAAACACCAGCCGAATGCATACTTAAACGGCTCTTGGCTGAAAGGCAAGCCGAGTTGAAGAAGCTGCTAGCTGACGAGAAAGCCGAATTTCAAAAACTCCAAGAGCATATGAAACTACTACAATCAGGTTAGCTTTCTTCTTAGTGTACTCAATGTTTTCTGGAGTGCCTATTTGTTTATTTTATAAGTTGTATTGTGTATCGCAGACTAACTTTTGGTTAGTCTGTGGTTGTATCTATCTAATTTGGATTTGTTGGAGTTGTGTCTATAACATATTGATTTATTTTTATTTATAGCAGAAGTATTATTTATGAACAGTATTTTTTTAAGGTTAATGTTAAGGGTAAGGCATAGGGTAAGGTAAGGACTAATACTCAAAGTATGAACCCACCATAAGTGTTTTGAATTAACTTTGTACTTTGTACTAGTTGTCTACTATATACTAGTTATTAAAATAATTTATAGTCTCAGTTTTAGTCAAAATTCTTGACACAATTTTTGTTTTGAGTTGATTTTTTTATACAGGGTGATGATAATAAGGAAATTTCAATACTTTGGGTATATATTTTAGGCCAAAAATTACACATAAAAGTGTATATAAATATATACCCGCTAGCCCTTCGTTTTTGCGATACAAGGTTTTATAGCTTTAAATTAATGGTTCTATTTTTTTTTAATAAAATCTATGATAATGTAAGTATTATAATTCAAATATCTCGAAAATGGTTGTTCATATCAACTTTTAATTTTAATAAGTATTATACCTTTCTGACATAAAAATAACCATCATTTATATTATTCACAAATGCAACACAGGGTTGAATCAAAAAGTTATGGTTATTTGAAAGAGTAGAAAGACATTTTGGTGGCGTGGCGCCTCCTACAAGCAACTGCTATATTCTATACTAAGATTAGAATAGAATTTGTCATACCAAAAACCACCGCATGCCAATTTTGAGTCCAATGTTATTATATTAATATTGCCAATATTATTATTACTTTATATTACTAACTTATATCTCAAAAAGGAAAGCCTTGCGGACACATATTTATTTAGACTTTTATGGTTATTTTTGGGTCTTGAATACGCACCTCATTTGACATTTCCTCATGAATCGCCTTGTATACTGGGTGTTACTATTATTGAGATATTGAAAATTAATTTAAATTCAAAGTACTTGTACTTATATCACTAGTGATAATCAGTTTACTTTCGTGACATTTATGGAAATATGGCTGACACTGTAAATTTCGGCTCTTTTAAGAGTTTATTTTTATTTTGTCAGAGAATCTTATTGAAAAAAACATATAAACAGGGAGTCCCATTTAAAAAAATCCATAGGTACCGCTCGCACAGCAGCAAACACACATCCAATTTAATTTAATTTTAATTTATTTTAATTCAACTATGACCATGTTAATAAAAATAAATAAACTAGAATGTGTCTTTTTACTTACTAACTATTTGAGTTGCTTTGTTTTTTAACAGATTTACAGACTTACTATTTTATGTATATTTATTATGATACTGATTAAATATCAATAATAATTACACAACGAAATAATTTTACTTAACAATTTGAATGCTATAATAACAATTTGAATTATTTACTGACGAAATAAAATATTTAGGTAAAATAACTGAAGAGCAACTGGACAAATGGTGCAAGGAGATCGACGAGGAAGAGCAAAAAAGTCAGCAGGAAGCCGCAGCTCACTCCAAGTGGTTGAAACAAAGAGACTTGAAAAAACAGGAAATAGAAAGAGCTTGGCGACCTCTAAAATCACCTTATCCCGTAGCCGGTCAGAAAAGAAAACTATCCGATGGTCTGGATGAGTTCGGAGAATCTGAATTTGATGATAGCAATACTCAGCAGTATCAGCAACACCAGCAACAGCCACCGCATTACTCGCAACATCATGTCGGTCATATCCAGATCCAAGAGTCTTCTAGACCTGCGCTGTCTCCCCTTCTCACCAGTTTACTGAAGTCTCCTTCTCAAGTTCCAAACGTGTCCGCCGTATCCACCTCTATTCTACATAGCGCCATCACGAGTCAAGGCAACCAGCAGAAGATCAACCCGCAAGGAAGCGCGGCGAATCCTACAATAGCCAGCTTATTAAATTCATCTGCCGGAGTCTCGGTTTCGGCCAGTCTTCAACAGCTTGTGAGCACGGCGATTGGACAAGACCAAAGCCACAACCACTCTCAGCCTTTGGACACTGACATGTTGGACGACGAGGCCAACTTAAAAATTGACGATTTAGCCAACAGTATATTAGTGCAAGACGGTCCTTTGCCGGAGATCAAGAAAGAAGAGGTTGACGACATTATATCGGAGATAATAGAAAACGCTCAGGATATAGTCGCTGATCCTGACCAGCATTTGCAGCTAGACGGTAATGGTGACATCAATATTAATTTAGAGTTAGACGATTTAGACGAAGAAGTCATTTCTCTCGAAGAACCTCCAAAAAAGGACGCGCTTGAAGTCGAGAAACCTACTGAAAAACCGGTTCTCCTTCCAGTAGTCGATCCTTTCGAATTCCAAGAAGACCCCGTGTTATTTCAGTCTCCTACAAAACCATCGGCTATGAAGCAGGACAGCGGTCAGTATGTACCTCTGTACCAACAACAGTCCCCTGTTAAGATTGATGAATCGAAGAAACTGATAGAAAAACCGGAAACTCCCCCAGTTTCTGAAGGGGAATCTGAAGAAAGGATTATTGAGCATTCCAAGCCGACACAACGAAGTAAAAGCATGTCCGGTTCGGTAGAAATTGTTGAGGTACAGTCTGAAGAACAAGCTAGTGAGAACAAGTTAAATAAGTCCCAGATTCAAAGTATTGTACATTCAAACAGAGTAGATCAGGAAGCTGAAAAAAACATTGAACAATTACTCAGGGATGATAATTTTGAAGATACGCCTTTGAAGGATGAAAAGATGGAAGATGATATAAAATCTGATGAGAACGAAGTAGATATGAAGAAAAACGAAAACCTTGAAGAACCGATTATGGAAATGTCTCCAGCTTTAAAGGTGGAAGAAGACGATAAAGCTAATATGAGCATAGGAAATTCATCCGAAGTGAATCTTGAGGGTACAATATCATCAGATTTAGTTGACGAGCTCTATGGAAACGTCAATATGGAAGTGAAAATTGACAAGACCGGAAAAACTAGGCGAGACTATTCCAGAAATAAAAAGAAAGAAGATAAATCCTTTGACATGTTTCTGACTGTTGAGAAGACAGACCAGTCTGAAACTACCGAAGAGTCGTTGTTTAATATTAAAAGAGAAGTGGAGAAAAAGGAGTTTTATAAAAATCGCTTGAAGTCTGAGAACGAGAGGTCGAACAGTCCCTGGACTGAAGAGGAAGATAACATAGCTAGGGGCGCTAAAAGAAGATATTCAACTCCGGGAACTCCGATTGACTCGCTACCAAACTCACCGGCATCCAGTAGCTTCTATGATGACGACAAAGATTACAGGAACTGGAAAAAGTCAGTGATGCTCGTGTACAATCGGCTGGCTTCCAACAAGTACGCCTCCTTATTCTCAAAGCCCATAACCGACGACCAGGCTCCGGGATACAGTACTCTAGTCTACAGGCCGATGGATCTACTCACCATCAAGAAAAACATCGACAACGGTGTGATCAGGACGTCTTTGGAATTTAAACGTGACGTGATGCTGATGTTCACCAACGCCATTATGTACAATAAAACGAACGATCTGGTTTACAGTATGGCGTTGCAGATGCAACAAGAGTCGATGAATCCGATCGAGATTTTGTTGCAAGCTCAAGGCCAGGTGGACGCTCCTTTGAGAAGAGAGACCAGAACTAGCGAGTCGAGCTGTAAGAGGAAGAAGGTTGCCGAGGATGTGAAGATTAAAAAGAAGAAGGAAGACTAGGGGTACGAGTTGCGGTGTTCTGGAGAGGTTTTCGATTACAGTCATTGTTTTTGATGACTGAGTTTTGTCCAGACCCGAGCTTATACCAGTTAGTGGTGTAAAATATTGTAAATATCTCATCTATTGTAGTGATAATTAAAAAAAATATACTTTGTATAGTCTGAATATTATTTAAAAGCACGCATTCATATGGTTGGTACATTTAGGATAGAATCTTTGTATTTTCGTTCGTATTTTTTTTTTCATTTAAATGCGATTTCAAAGTGAGATGAATGACATAATATCCACCATTATCACCATTAAGTAAGACAGTTAAAATTATGTATTGTAAATAATCATCTATATTACCGGGATTTAGAAAATAGTCTTGGAATAATATAATTAGTAATTGTACATATTTAAATGATTGGTACAATTCTATACTATAAAGAAATTTTTGTATTTTTTTTAAATAATAATTGTTCTTGATCTTTAAATTTTTTGTTTTATATATTTATTATTTAGATCTCATCTCAAAGTGTTCGATTTACACTCATTATTTTAGATTACTGAGCATTGTTCAGACCAGAGCTTATACTAAGTGGTATAAAAATATTGTAAATAGATCACCCATTTGGTGAAAATTAGAGAGTATTCTTTGTAGTCTGCGCATTTTCCAGACCAGCACTTTTAAACACAAAATTATATTGTAAATAATTCTTCTGTTTTAGTAAGAACTAGGAAATATGCTTTGTGTAGGTATTTATAAATGATACCATCAAATTTAGAATTAGAAAATAAGCTCAAGCATTGTTTGATAGCCTTAGAAATAAATAGACTATTTAAAGTACCATAACGTGTTTAATTTTTTACTCTACTTCTTAAGATGAAGTCAATAACTGATAATTTTTTACAACAGAATAAAAAAGAAAAGCATGTATTGACGTAGACAATTTGAAATAAGCTACTTTAAAAAAAAAAAAAAAAAAAAAAAAAAATTGTGAGTGCACTATACTGGGTGTTGAATCGTTGGACGGGACATAGGAAATCCCATGTAAATTTTAATGGGGTCAATTATTGGCTTCCCTAATTATTTTAGAGAATAATTCTATTTAGGTTTATTCAAGAGCACTAAAACCCGTATTCAAAAGAATAACTTTAGATATTTTTGATTAGCTCGTTTACGAGTCATTGCCGATTTCTTTTTAAATATTTCTCCTTTCTTAGGGCCCTCTGTATTTACTTATGAGCACCAGTACGGCACCAGTCAAGGTAAAAGATAACTGTCAAATGAAGTTGTCATTTCAGAAATTTACCTATTTAGTGCTTTATTATTATTGAAAATTCATTCCTACATCGGAAATCTTAAAGATGTATTTATAAATACAAATTAATATGAATTAAAGTAAAATAAAGTAATCAATTACAAGGTTAATTATAGTATTATTACAATATTCAATAACTATTAAATTGTTAGTATTGAATAGTATTTATGTCGTTTCAAAATTCGAAACGCTGTAGTGTGATCTATTCCTATTTCGTCCTCAAGTTTCCTTGTGCTGATCTTTCCATCGTTCTCTTCCACGCACAACAAAACTTCCAAGTCGGTATCATTTCTTGCATCTTCTCTTTGTTCCTGCCTTGCAAATAGATAAATTTCTGAAATGACAACTTCATTAGACAGTTATCTTTTACCTTGATTGGTGCTCATAAGTAAATACAGGGCCATAAGAAAGGAGAAATATTTAAAAAGAAATCGGCGATAACTCGTAAACGGGCTAATCAAAAATATCTAAAGTTATTCTCTTGAATGTGGGTTTTAGTGCGCTTCAATAAACTTAAATAGAATTATTCTCTAAAATAATTAGGGAAGTCAATAATTGACCCCATTAAAATTTCCATGGGATTTCCTATGTCCCGCTCGACGATGCAACACCCGGTATGTGCATATTTGAATTGAAACTTCTTACTAACAACTATAAATTGAAGGGTTTGAAGGATATGTCTGAAAAAGTGTAGTTTGAAATATTAAAAAAGTAATAAATTAAAAATTAAGTAATAAACAATTTGATTCAATTTCACCGAATTTGTATTAAAATGACCGTCTGTATTGTATAGTAATTATGTATTTATATCCATATATATATATATATATATATATATATATATATATATATATATATATATATATATATATATATATATATATATATATATATATATATATATATATATATATATATATATATATATATTTTTTTTTCCTTTCTTGTATGAGGTTTTTTTTATTAATTGAAATGGAAACTTTTTATATAAAGAGATGGTTCATTTTTCAGCACTTTGCTTGATAGAAATGTTTGTGCACACCAGCCCATATAGAAGAATTTTTATATATATTTCATTCTTCTATATAGACTGGTGGTAGCAAGGCGGCTGCGGCTTCAAGAATAAAGTGCCTGAGAAAGCCCACCATGATGAGGCGAAACGTCGCATAATAAAAAAAAAAGTTTCCATTTTCAATTAATAAAAAAAAATAAAAAAAATAAAAAAAACCTCATACCACATTTATACTACATTTTTTTCCTTTCTTGGTTTCCAAACCAAGAAAGGAAAAAAATATATATGGATATAATTCTAAAGGTTTAAGAAAAAGAAAAAAAAATAAACTCTTTAGTCTCTACTATCTAATTAATAAAAATGTATTTATAGTCTCTACTATCTAATTAATAAAAATAATATGAAACTTTCACAAAATGTGTATTAAAATATCAATATTTTTGATAAACACGTCGCGTCACTACGTATTTCTAAGCCGTAGGCTCTGTCATTACCATTTTTCGTCTCGCGCTAGCTTGTGTCACGGCCTTGAATTTTTACTCCCAGCTCGTAAAGAAGTTTCATTTCAAAAATCTTTTTAAAAACAAGCTTTTATTTAAATGCTCCGAAAAGAAGATTTTTTTTATTTTTTTTTTTAATAATATTACATCTATTGGTTCCCAAGTTTTGGTATACAGTAGGTCCCCGGATTGTCTTTACAAGAGGAAACCTTTATTATTACTGACATTTTGAGAAAAATGGATTCTTCATTAATTTTTTTGCTTGTTCTGAAATGGTTAATCCCGTTCATACCTTTCCAAATTTCCATACCGTTTTAGAGAAAATTAAGAAAAACATGAAAATATGGTTGACTAAAAATCAAAACGCGTTTCTATGGTAATATAACTTCGTTTCCATCTTTGAAAAAGAAGACTAAGGAAGGAGCATAATGCTATTCATGTATTCATGCATGGTGGGCGGAAAAAGGACTCTAGGGTGGGGATCCTTGACAGTTCTGTTTGACGATTCATTTGACACATTTGAATTTGATTTGAAATTTTGTGGATTTGTCAGTCTTTACGGAGCTTATTTTATGTTATTTATTATTTATTCTACTACTGATAGTTGTATAGAGGTAGTAAATCTAGATGGAAATTGTGTGGCAGAACTTAAAATAACAGTGACACTATCGCGATTTATCGAAAAAGTCTCTAAAATAGTTGGTTGTGTAGCGTGTGGTAGATCTCGGCAAAAATCGAGTGAAATAATGGAACAACTTTTCGCTAGTAAGTGACTATATAATATACATGCGTGTAATAAACCGAGCATTTATGAAATTCACTTAAATTAAGTAATTATATATTTTTTCTTGCATTTTTGCTTTTATTTACTACTTGTCAAAGATTAGATGTCAAAGAATTTAGATACGTCAATTTGATTTTATTTTTTTGTTTTCTATTTTTATTAGAATTTTATATTTTTATAACAATTTTAATAACTACCAACATTTATTCACAACGTAAAATAAATAAAAGAAATATAGAGTCTACCACACGTCTACCCTACATCATAGTTTTACATTTTTTAAATAAAATTAGAACGGCACTGATAAACCGGAATTTAAGTCCGCCATATTTGAGGCCTATCGCGGTGGACCTAAGATTTTTGATATGCTCCTTCCTTAGTCTTCTTATTCAAAGGTTTCCATTCTTTGATAGACTGTTATTCATAGAATTTTAATTAACGTAGTATTTTTTTGTTGTTTTAAAATGTTAAAGAAGTATAAAATTAATTTAGTTCAAAGCTACGGAAAGAGAGATGATAGTTATCGGAAAATGTGATACTTTAACAACAACAAAGAATATGACGTTAATCAAAATTAATAATAACCATCTGTCAAATAATGAAATCGAATTGTATTACCATAGAAACGCCTTTTGATTTTAAGGACTTTAGGAAAAATTCCATTATATTTTCATGTTTTTCTTAATTTTCTCTAAAACGGTATGGAAATTTGGAAATGTATAAACTGGATTAACCATTTCAAAACAAGCAAAAATTTTTATGAAGAATTCATTTTTCTCAAAATGTCAATAATAAAAAAGTTACACACTGTTAAACATTTTATGACATAAAATTATACAAACTTTTTTACTTATTCTTATCTGCGATAACAATTCGGACCACCCTGTATATTGTATCTTCTAATGATCCCAAGTACCATTCTTCTATAGATCATATCTCCACTACTCAGGACTTTTCTTCCTTTGGTGTCAAACCCATAACTTTTGTAGCTGAAAGAATAGAGCTATGTACTAAATCAAATCGAAACTACAATTTAGTGTAAAAATGTAGCTTTATTTTTTATAGAACAAAAGATTTATAACAACATTACTCTGAAATAAGTATACGACATCTCACCCTAACAGTTTGACAAAATAGTTTAGCATTGCATACTTAACAGGAGGCACTTTTCTACAATTTTTCCTAACGAAAACTGAATTGCACCTAAAGTATTTTCTGCGTAGGGATTTCTCTCGATTTTTTGAACAAAATATCGCACCAATCAGATCTATTAACATTCTGTATGCCCAAGAAACTAAAGATACAAATATAATTTTTAAAGTAACAATAGCTTAAAGAATTGAAAATTAAATAGTGTATATATTTTTACATACTTTTAGAATCATTCTTATTTTATTAATTCACTTTTAATGAGAGTTTAATTGCAGATATATGTTTTTTTTTCTGAAGTATATCGATAACACAAGCTCTCCAGCCAATATTGTAAGAAATTTACAAAGGGTAAATTCACTTTTGTATCATGTAACAGCTCAATACATTTTTAAAATCAAAAATTTCATTGTTGTAAAAATACGCAAGATGAGCTAAACTTATTTCATAAGTCCTCTGCAGCATCTGTCTTCTTTTATTAGGTCATTTTCAGCTATTTTATTCAAAATATTCTATAATAAATAGATTTTAATCCAATATGTCAATTAATTATAATAAATATATTACATTCTCCTAATATAAAAATAAGTCATAGGTACTTAATCATTTTTCTTCGTAATAATGTTATACTTCATTACAATTAATCTAGCCATTAATTATGTTTTAAATTGTAATAAATACACTCAGTTGCCAAAAACAAAAGAATGGGGATTTTTTTTGTTTTATATTTTTTTACTTTTAGCTCTATTTTCATGAATTTTTTAGCAAACTGTTTATAAATCTATCAATTGTAATTCATACCAAACCAAACTCCGTTTTTTATAAACTTTAGTATTTGGCTTATTATACAGGGTTATTTGAAGGATTGTTTTCTACCCTAACTTTAAAATACCCTATACAATAACTTCATGTAAATATTAGTAACACTAACAGAACTAAGAATATTAAACAAAATAACTAACAACTAAGTGTACAAACAAACAAAAAAATTGCAAAATGTTTGTGGCAAGTTCATTTTCAAAAATTAACTAAGGCATGTCTTGACATGAGTCAAAAAACAAAATATTCAGGAGACATGGT